CATGTATAGAACAGGGATGGGATTGAGAAACCGCACTATGGGATGGATCCCAAAAGAGTTTTGTGCAAACATTACTCAGAATAGTAACGCCGCCCGCTTGTGCAAAACTTTTGGTGGGGAACTGTCCCCACCGATAGAGTGCCCCCAGGATTTTTGTGGGTATGTGGAAGACATGAGTGGCTTTATCTTCCCACTCATTGGACAGGAAGATACACATGGGGACAGCTATACATCCCAGGGAAGGTTCTCCCCACCTTTACCGAGAAGCTACATAACTGGGATGCTGTGTTCTCCCATTGGCATCGGGTGAAATGGACTCCATGGTGGTTTTACCTAGTAGCCATCCTTTTTCCTGGGGGCGGAGCCATTAAGGTAGAAATAGAAGTGAATGCCCTAGCGGAGCATACTGCTTGGGCCCTGAATCAAACCAGGCAGGCCTTGACCCTCCTGATGGGTGAAGTCACCCATGGGGGCACATGCACAGTTATACATACTGAATGCTGTGTATGTATACCTGATCACGAGGAAGATATCTCCTCTGCCTTGAAGGAAGTTGATGGCGAGGTACAGATCATCCAACAGTTTACTGGAAACCCGTTGCAACAATGGTGGGGACATCTCTCATCATCTTGGTATTGGACCCTCCTAATGTTAGGAGCTGTTTGCTATAGTCTGGTAACACTATGCTATTCCCTATATTGTTGTTGTGGTCTTTGCACCCAAGGGGCCTCTCTGTGGGCCCATGTGTTGGACACGAAACCTATTACCTAGGGGGTGGAATGTAAGGGAAATTCATTTGTATAGACAATAGGTTTCTTAGGCCAAACTAAAATAATCGCAAGTGTGTCTTCTGCCCGCCTTCTGGGGAGGCATGAGTTAGCACGGTTATGTAACCGAGGTGTTATCTCCTATGTGAACCCATGTGATCATCCTTTCCCATGGCATGTTGCTGCTGTTGTTCTGAGCCATATATAAGTGCTCACCATGTTCTTGGACAGGCTCTCGCCGCAGCTGCATCTCCCTGACAGTAAAGAACACGTCTCATCTTCCCGCTGCCACCCGCCTCTTCTTTCAACTCCCAAAAGCCTGCTCTGGTGCACTCGCTAGCCACAGAGCCCACGCCCCACAGGGGGTTTATGGGGACAAAGAGAAAGGAAAAAAGCGATTGCTGCCAGCTGATAGCATCTGTTTTTTATTTTATTTTTTTCTCTGTGAGGCCGGCTTATCAGGGTCTTTGAAATGTGGTCTGGCAAGAGCTACAGTGGAGAGCTCGCACCCCTGCTGTCCACTTAGGACTCTTCAAGGCTGTGAAAATGAACTCTTAAAGATACCGCAGGTGGTTCATCTTAAAGACAAGGAGTTGAGTTCCAGGTGTTTAATCAAACAAAACAAAGGGCAGTTGTGTTGTGAGTTTTCTCTTCAAAGGGGCAGTTATGTGTTGTGAGTTTATTCCTCTTACTTTTCTGTTTGATAGTTTATCTTTCTCTGTTAGCTAGTTTATTAACAAGGCTGTCCTTTCATTAAGGTGTGGCTCTGAAATAGCCTCAAGATGGGGCCAGACACCAGAAAGACCAAGTGACTAGAGGATTAGAGGGTTGGAACTTTCAGCCACACCCACCACTCTGGGAAGGTTGAGCAAGTGCTGTACATCAAGCTCTATAAAAACTCTTGAGCAATAAGATCTGTTGAGCTTCCTGTTTGCTGAATGTGTGAAGGTGCTGGAGAGTGGCATGTGCCCAGAGAGTGCATGGAAGCTCCCCTTCTCCTACCCATGCAGGGGTGGGGAACCTGTGGCCTTCTGATTTCAACATTATTCTTTTTTAAGCACCAATGGAGGCAAGAAAATTTTCATCTTTCTCTGCTCCACCCCTTTTAATAAAAGGATTTGTTCTGTAAAATTTGGGTTCAGTCAAAAGGCTACACTTGGCCAGGCGCGGTGGCTCATGCCTGTAATCCTAGCACTCTGGGAGGCCGAGGCGGGCGGATTGTTTGAGCTCAGGAGTTCGAGACCAGCCTGA